GGGTCCGGTGACCGCAAAGGACGAGGAGGCCTAGTTGCGTGGCCGAACCAGCCGCCGGAGTAATCCAGCCGCCCAGCTGAGAGAGGAGCCAGACGGAGCCAACCGAGATGACTGCAAACATCCTGGATGACTGAAGACTTTCTATCAAGGACCCAGACGACTTCCCCTACGGAGCCTGAGCTGCAGAGGGATAGAGGACCTCCAGCATCTGCTATCAGTTTCATCTGTTTCAACTGACCTGAGGATTGGTGAGAGGCATCTGGCCACATTGAAAACCTATTTGCTGTTCATACCTGCACCACAGTAAGGGCCCCAACGCCGGCTAGCTCAGGACATTACTACTGGCCAGTAGTCTAGGAAGGGTTGGGCATTGCTAAAGGGAAATCTTAAAGGGGCATACACCTCATTACAGAGAGAACATTTAAAGACAATTGGCCTCACATACATCCGTGCTGACAGCAGATAGTTGCAGTTACTGAGTTGTGGAGTGCCTCAGCTTGTTGCTACACATTATTGTTGGGTATTGTTGTCATTTTTACTGTATCAAAGTCATTCATATCTGATTTGTCAGTAAATTGGTTATAAAACTGTTCAAAGGTGTGTTGGTGTGCTGTGGATCCACGGTTTGGGCGGTACATTGGTGTTGGGGGATAGAAATATCCGGTTATTCAGCGGCTCCTTAGGGGGTGAGCGCTACATTTGCTATCTGCAATAATAACTATCATTATCGCCTGCGTGCCTGCCTCCGTGATATATGACATTGCTATTGGTCTAATAAAAGAAACAAATTACATGCATTTTATTTCTCTGCAATTTTCTTTACCACCAATGAAACACTAAAAGGCCATGGCCTGTCTATGTTCATATAAACACCTGAGATTAGATAACATGTTACCTCAGAGACACCATTTTGTTAGTTTAGCCATTTCTCACCATATACAGAGATATCCACGTTAATGTAAGCTACAGCCCTGTTTCGTAATTTGCTATAGTAGTCCTAAAATGAAAAAAAGAAATGTACAGTCACTGTAATGTATGAAATGCCTCTGACAAAGTAATAAAGTAATTAAGGAAATATAAATCAAAAGGTAACATTTTCTGTTAATGGAGATAAGTACACAATATGACCAATGGATTGTGGACGCTTGACCATCACACCTACCAAAAGTATCCAGACACCCCTCCAAGTGTAGTTCATCGTTTACAAGGAAGTGTAATGTTAATATTACAGCATACAAAGACATTTTAGAGAACTGTGAACCTTCAACCTTCAGGCAACGGTTTGGAGAAAGCCATTTTCTCTTCCCCTGTGTACAGGACAGCTCCATATAGACATGGTTTAATGAGTCTGGTATTGAGGAACTCAAGTATCCTGCACAGAGTCCTGACCTCAACCCTACTGAACACCATTGGTATGAATTGGAATGGTAAATCTGGTCTTCTCATCCAACAAACCATTACCTGACCTCACAAATACTCTTTTGGTAAATGGGCACAAATACACACAAAATGTTTTCAGAAAGCCTGGAAGAGCGGAGAGAGGGGACCAACTCCATACTAATGCAGGGGCGGACCTACCGCCGCTGCTGCACCAGGGCCCAGTATCCAATCTAACACAGCCCCGGCTCAGAGATGGGGGGGGATCGGTAGCCAGGGGCATCAGATCGGTAGCCGGCGGGCTCCCCCCCAAGGAGTATCAGATGATCCGACACTCCCGGCGTAGAGATGAGGGGGGCTGCCGGATAGCGATCCAGTCATCTGACCCTCCCGGCGCAGAGATGAGGGGGGCTGCCGGATAGCGATCCAGTCATCTGACCCTCCCGGCGCAGAGATGAGGGGGGCTGCCGGATAGCGATCCAGTCATCTGACACTCCCGGCGTAGAGATGAGGGGGGCTGCCGGAAAGCGATCCAGTCATCTGACACTCCCAGCGCAGAGATGGGGCGACGGGCCCGGTGATGATGATGATGATCATCCAATTTAATTGGATTGTACATATCTTTGATTTATGAACTTTTTTGGGGTGGATTATTCGTGTAGCCCCCATCACCTTTTGTGAGGTGGCTACTTGACATTTGCCAGAGATTTAGTCAGCCTGGCTGGATTATAGTGGCATTTATCTGGTTAATTCCAGGTGCCTGGCATTGACTGTACCCCCCTGGGCGGAGTGTGACCCTGCTGTATTGTGGGACAGCCAATGGGGGACATTGTGAGTGTATGTACAGTGCAGCAGCCAATCACTGGGTTTCTCTCAACCAGTGTTGCATGCTGGGATACGGTACAAATACTGGAGGGAATTGCCATGTACTCAGACTAGTCGGGACCAGCCATGGATTAGCATTGGAATGGGTGCTGTCCAGCCACCCCCCAGGCTAGACCTGAGGCCTGGGGGTCGGCAGAGGCTGGAGTGTGGGAAGTGTTTCCCTAGGCCTCAAGTATGTAGGAGGCCTGTGCTGTTATCAGGGGAGGGGAACCAGAGAAACTGATGTCTGCTGGAGGTGCCTGGAACATGGAGGACCACTGCAGCATGGCAGGATCTGTACTCATCTCCTGCTCATCTGTTACTCCAATTACTATTCGCTGTACTACAAATGGATCGAGACTGAGATGCTAAAAAGAGGTCCGGTGAGTCTGTAGTGTATGTTTGTTACATCCTGGATGTCTAGGATCCCTATACCCTCTTTCCACAGTGTGAAGATGTTAATAAAAGTTATTCAGCATTATACTTATGGAGCGGATATCAGCTTTGTGGGCTCTAGAGAAGGGCGGTTAATGCTAATGGGGCAGCTGAAGATCATACCCCTAGACAACTAGTGATGCCCGGGGTTATTCTGGCGGCTCTTTCGGGGGTGAGCGCTACATCCGCATTCATTTATACATGTTTATGGGTTTATTTATTCATATATAAGATTGCGTGTGCTATTCACTTGTTAGTTTGGTAGTTATTTAGAGCCCTGTGGTTCTTTTTGGATTGTCTTGAATACTGCGATGTTCGTGTAGAAAATGTTACCTCAGCAAACTCAGTTGAGCCAATGAGTCCAAATTCTTCTGCTCCCCAGCTGCCAAAAATGATGGTTCTTCGAGGACGCCACTTTCCTAGGAAGATACCATTCATGAAGAACAACAACGTAAACCCCCATCACTGAAAAACACTATTTTGTTCATGCACTGGGCTTCATATGGTGCTGTCCTTCGGCTCGCTTCAGCCGCCTCAGCCCTTCGGTTCAGTCGAACCGAAGGACTGCTCTACGAGCTATTCACAATAGTCCATACAGCAGCCGAGCGACTCAGCCGAGCCGCAGGCATATGCTTCGGATCGACTGAGCTGAAGTTACAGCCGAAACATGGAGAACGGTCAGCCGATCCCACGGCTTGCTTAGCCCAGTTGTAATGACAGATCAGCATACCCAAATGACCCGGGGACGCTGATCTGTCATTAAACAATAACGACTGGGCAGAGCCGTCATCATTTTTCAACTTTTTTTTTTTTCATCTCACTTATTTTCTTTCTATTCTGCTCGGTACCTCGGAGCTACCGAGCAGAATAGCCGAGCCGAATGAGAATGGGGGCAACTGGCAGCGAGTGAGCTGCCGGAGCTTTGGCTCCTGGGGAGCATTCAGGAGTGCTGCATTAAAATCTGCTTACAAGGTACAGGGTGATAGGAGAGAGCAGAGGGAAGACCTCATCAGTCTGCTGCTGCTTCTTCATTGTCCAATCTACAGGGTAGGGTTGGAGAATATACACCACAGTATTGACTGTATACCACTGTCTACAGTCTGCTATGAAATGTTCACATAGACAAGGCATTACAGTTTATTGGGTCTACAGCAGAGCATATAAAATGTGAACATTCTCAACTGACTGCAATGGAAACTTTAAGCAAAATGGAACAAAATAGATAATTAAAACTATACAAGTTGATTGTTTTGCTGCCCTGGCTCAGAATACCAATGTAATGTAAAATATTATAATGGCAGTGTTGCCCTTTAAGTGGTCCCATTAGACCTCATGGGTACTCTGCACCTAAAGTTCACGTGTGCCAAGACTATGCACAATAAAGTATTTACATATTCTGAAAAAGCGGTAAAATCACTTTTCAACAAGCCTTCATGCACCTATGTGGCTGTAGGCATTGTGGAGAAATTCAGCTTCAAATTTCAGAACAGAGGAAGTGAGATCTTAGCTCTTTCCTCTTACTTTCTATAGAGAGCAGAATCTTGGCCGCCAGCCCTCTAATGTGAACGCACAGCAGGTGCTTCTAAGCTGTTAGAAATGGACTCAAACTACTTTAGAGATCTTTGAGAATTAATTACTTCCCAGTACAAGCAGCTAGAGAGGTCAGTGATGGCTTGTTTATAAGCTCTTTTACTGCTTGTTACCAATATATAAATACCTGCATGTCTATAGTCTGGGCACAGGCACACTTTAATTTACAAGGTCAGAACATCTGCCACGGCAAGTATGAAGAAGTCCCACTCTTCTGTTGTATTTATCCATTCACTTTTGAAGAGGGAAGATCCCATTGTGGGTGGGGGACATTAAAGCTCTATGGTAGACAAGGACTGAGACAGGAAGTACAGCAGGAAGGTGTATCGCCATTACCTTGTTTTAGTTTAGTGCCCAGAACTCTTGTTATCTCCAGCATTACGGCTGTGCCACTGCTCGGATCGATGGCTCCGTGGACCCAGCTGTCCCTGTGGTTCCCATACATCACATACCTGTCTGAAAACACAGAATTGAAGACGGATGAGTACAGAGAAGTATTTACAAATGCACAAAAAAGGAGCCATGTACTCTACACTATTGTACAAACAGAGAGTGGCTTGAAGACCATAGACAGCAGATAAAGGTTGGATGACCTCCAAGTTCTCAGCACCTCTCAGTCTACTAGGGATTGTCTGGAGAAGTCTCAGAATCCCAAAAGACACAAGATCATTTCCCAATCTGACCACAACTGGCCTTGTATGGGGAGTGATCAGCTTACAGCTATAGGAACCTTAACCAGAGCCAGATTTCTGGCAAGGCCCAGCCTCAGGGAGACAGGGAGCAGAGGGGCGGCAGGGGTGTGGAATCTCCCAACGCCCTGCAGTTCCGGGCGCCGGGCGGATAGTTGTTTTCTACATTCAGCCCTGCTTGGTGCAAGCAGGGCCAAATGTAGAGCTGGGAAGCTGCTCATTCGTGTACAAGTGGTCTCGGCAATGTCGCCAAGATCACTTGTAATAAGACTGCAGGTCCAACCTCACCCGCCACCCCCAATGCCGCGTACCTCTCTCCCCACCAGCCGGAGATCCTTTCTTCAGGATGGAGAGCAGGGAACAGAGTGTAAACAGTGAGACGGGAGAGCTGCACTCGCAGCCTCCCCCTCTCAGCTGTCACAGGAGTTCCAGCACAGTGCTGTGCTAGAACTCCTGTATTGGAGGTGACAGGTTCAATAAAGAGAACCTGTCACCTCCAAATGCTATCACACAGGGGCTTGTTAGCTAGCTCCTGTGTGATAGCAATAAAGTTAAGTGGAAGAAAAAATATAATTGGTATAAAAAAATGTAAATAAATAAAAGTTTAAAAAATAAGCAAAAAATAATAAAAAAAATAAAAAGGTGATTCAAAAGTAAAAATAATAAGAAAAACATTATAAAAAGTAAAAGATAAGATAAAACAAATTATAAAAAATAAAAAAAAAGGTAAAAGATAAGATAAATAAAAATTAAAAAAAATTAAAAAGTGATTAAAAAGGTAATAAAAAATAAATAAAACTAACCCTGCCGCTCCCGCCATCTGGGTTGTCATTCTTTATTTGGGGGAGCGCAATGAGGAACCTGGCCTTGGGGCAGCAGAGAGAGTAAATCCGGCCCTGACCTTATCAGCCTAAAAGTTTTGCTTTGGAATGATATTAGGACCGGCGGGACTGGTGATGACACAGCAGCTTAAGTGACTGCAGTTTCTCGGGTTAGGTTATAACAGCATCAAAGGAAACCTCTACTGCTAAAATATAAAGTCTACCATTACTGAACCCTGAAAATGCTGGTAGCCTGGCTGTTATGTTGATTCAAAGGCTTGCATACGTTCTGAGCCACTGATCCAAAACCAGTTCAGGAGTTCTGTGTTTCCTGACCGGAGCCTGATACTTGCTGCATGTTTAAAGCAATGACTCAAGAGGACAAAGACAACCAGGAACAGTGTTCAGGAGGACATCAATGACCTCCTCCGTATTTCTCTCTGTATAGGATTTTAACCCCTTCATGACTGAGGCCTTTTTTTCATGTTTTGTACCCATGTTATATTCCACATTTTAGGCCGGAAAATTACTTAAAACCCACCAACATTATATATTTTCTGAATGCCAAGACCCTATAGAATAAAATGGTGGTAGTTGCAAATTTTTATGTTGTGCAATATTAGCGCAACTCCTTATTAAACCCCAATAAAAGGGGTTAAGGTGGACCTTTCAGTAGCTTTAAAAGTCTGCCTCTAAAAGCAGTTAGATCCAGTCACATGACTTTTGCCTAGGATGAGATGATGTCATCAGTCTGCTGCAGGCAGGAGGAATCTGTGCCTTAGGGCTTGTTCACACCAAATGCAGACCAGATCTGCATGAGTTTCTGCACACGCAGTGCAGTGTGTTTTGCCGCGTTTTTGCTATGTTTTGGAGGTGTTCCGGGCCGTTTTTTTTTTTTTAGCCTAAAATGGGCTTTAAGTGCGTTCCAGGGCATTTGCTTGCGTTTATGATGCGTTCGTTCCAGAGCAGGTAAAATAGGGCTTGCTGCAGTTTTTTACATGCTCTGGAACTGAACTCGGCAGTGTGAACTAGAGCCCAAAATACCATTGGAATACATTGGACGCAGTTTTGATCCGGTCTGTAACTGCTCTGCTCCTGGAAGGAGCTTGACGTGAACAAGCCCTCAGACCCCATTCACACTGAGCGACATGGTGAATCGCGCGTTTTTCCGTGCGATTCGTTGCTGAGCGGTATTGAGCTACAATGCGCGATATTGAGCGACAGTGCACATTTTATCGCGCTACGTAGCGCGACTTTTGGAGGGACTTAGTCGGTGCTACATTGGGCTGTAACCAATGAACAGCGGTCTTGATGTGATATCATTCTTTCCTTCCATTATGCAGTGCAAAAGTGACCCTTCTGTAGCGCGATATCGCGCAACAAGGTCATGCAATATCGCTGGTAATGCGCGACTTTGCACAACACCAATGAGTCTGTTGGGGCCGAATCACGCGACATCCGCCGAAAAAATCATGTACCAGTGACAAGCTTGAGCGACAAGCTACAGGCGACATTGAGCTGTGAGATGTGAGCAGCTCCATTAAAATGCATTAGACAACCTACATAGAGCGATATCGCTTGGAAATATGCGTGATTTCGGAGCGGCAATCGCGCAACAAACCGCTCAGTGTGTTTGGAGTCTAGGTTTCTTCTTCACTTGTAGTCAGACTGTATATTGTAACTTTGTAGCAAGTCACAAAATGAGAGTCTGCAGCAGAGGCTGAACAGTGTCAGACCTTTGTGAACATGACTAGGATCTACATGATTGTGTCATCTCAGAGCTGGCATCTCAGGAAGTAGATGGTGACCCTGGAAGATCCTGAATAAAGATGGCACCGTCCTTCTCAAGAGAAAAGCAAATGAAAGCATTGCCGGAGGAAGTTCTGTGCTCTCTGTAAATGAGTTCATAAATACCTCCAAGCGTTACATGAAACAATTTATCGGATGCTGCTAGGTCTGCGATCAAGAACATAAATGTGATCGGAAGTGCTTGGCAGTCATTGAAGAACGGCATTTGCCCTTACATGACCACCACAGGGAAAGCAATGATTATCAGTGAATTGCAGTGACACAATAGTCGTATATATTACTTATAATGATAGGAAGATATGTTATCTCTATATATGAATGCACCAGCACAAGGCGAGGGTGACTCACCGGGCTCTACAGCTCCTCTGATAATCCCCATCACATTCGCTGATGATTTTATTGTCCGCTTATTGTAAACATTAACCTCAACATCACTAGGAGAGGAACAACAAACCGTTATCATGATTGTGACATGATTGTTATGGAACACGCATACATGCACAGACACTCATGCACACACATGCACAGACACTCATGCACTCATAACAGGCAAAAAAAGGTTAATTTAAATAAATTCCTCAGCCACAAATGATATAAATCCACTTTGTGTGCACCAAATGCACATAAAGTTATTATAAAATTAGCAGTGACATCACCACTGTGCTGCACATAGCCTGCGCAGAGAGCAGAGCTGTGGGAATGAAGCAGTGACCGGTCTTTATTATAAGAAGAGGGTGGAGATTGGATTACTGCACAGATCTGGAAAAAAATACATAAAGATCACCAAAATTCCTGGAAGAATACACATGACTCTTGTATTTAGATAATATTTACACTGCCCACTTTTGATCCCTAGCTCACTTCCCCGATGCATGATAAAAACACCATTCTACTTCAACAAAATAAAGACAGTGGGGGGGACATAACCCGGGGCTATCTCTCCATAAGGCTCAAGAGACACCTATATTTTTGGAACTTTTGATTTCCTGCAGCAGGAATCCCTAATCTGCCATTTACAAGTGGCAGCCGTCACTCATTCAGGTTAATGATTGGGTGACAGCCACCTCATATGAACGTCGGCACACCGCATGTAATCATGCAGTTAATCGCTATCCCTGGATGCACGGAGCTGTTTTCAGCTAAAAGAGCATTTGTGGGGTCAGGTACTGATTTTGTACGAGAAGACCTGGTCCTCAAATGGCGTTCCAGTCCATCCCAAAGAGTGTTCCGTAGGGTTGAGATCAGGGCTCTGTGCAGGCCACTTGTTCCTCTACATGAGTCCCATCAAACCATGTCCTCATGGAGCTGGCTTTGTGCACAGGGGCACAGTCATTCTAGAACATAAAAGGATTTTACCCAAACTGTCCCCACAGAGCTGAGAGAGCACAATTGTCTAAAATGTATTTGAATGCTGCAGCATTAAAAGGGCCCGTCCCAGACATCTCAGCTGTCCAGGATGTTCCGGGAGTCTCCCGCTATTAGATAGCGGCTCCCGGACACCCGGGAGAGAAACATTTTCTCCCGGAAAGGTTTACTCTGCTCGATCTAGTAAAACTTTCCCTGCGGTCTGCTTTTTTTCTGACAATCGGGGGCGCCGGCTGCCGTCAGAGAAAAAAAAAACAGCATAGGAATGAATAGCTAGGCTTCTATTGGCTATTGCAATTTGCAATAGCCAATAGCAGATTAGCTATTGCACCCACCCACTGCTGCTGTCAATCAGCAGAGGTAGACCTGAAGTTCTCCATCAGGTCCTCTTCTAGTGATTGGCAGCAGTAGAGGGCGGGTGCAATAGCCAGCTTGCTATTGGATATTGCAAATTGAAATAGCCAATAGCAATGTAGCTATTAGTTCCCACGCCGGTTTGGTTTTTTTTTGGTCCTGACGGCGGCAGCTGTCAGAACACTAAAAAAAACACAGCAGATAGCAAGGGAAGCATTAGCTTCTTTGCTATCTGCCATCATTTCAGGGGGTGCTCTCTTCCTTGTTGTTGCACCCCCCCTGTGGAGAGGGGGGGGGGCTTGACAGAGGGCACCTCCCTGAAATGAGTAGGGCACCTCCATTTAATGAGTAGGGCACCTCCATGAAATGAGTAGGGCACCTCCATGAAATGAGTAGGGCATCTCCATGAAATGAGTAGGGCACCTCCATGAAATGAGTAGGGCACCTCCATGAAATGACTTATTTCGGGTTGGGATCCCTGCTGTCTCTAGAAACACCTGAACTCAGTCAGTCATTTGGAGGGATGTCCACCAAGGTCATAGAGGGGTGCTGGGCAGGAGTTCATATGCCTTTGTCCATATAGTGTACTTTTTTCACATTTTGAGCGTGCATTTTTGCTTATATCACACACATTACAGTTCAAAATCATTTTTGTAAATCGGTCCCAACGAGACGGGTCCTCATGATGACCCCCTCAGATCTGATATTACACATAACAGAAGACTTCCTATGTATTGCCTAATACCTGTTACTGAAACTGTTTGGTACGAATCCAGGTCCTATGTTATAAGGGCAACCCAGAGATCCCTGCCAGTTTGCTTGAGCTTGAGGTCCAGCCAGTTCACTGTAAATAAACAGAATTATAATTTTATAGGATCTTCAGTAAATGTAATTGTTATATACTGTATGTAGATGAATTAAACTAAATAAAATTAAGATTTTACATATAAGGTTATAGGGAATATTTAAACATGTCAATTGTGCCTAAGTAATACAGCTTGAACAATGTAGCTTTTGCTGCGGGTGAGTTAATTGTTCCGAATTTGTGAGAAAATGAACTTGCCCTTTAAATTCCACTAAAAAATAGAAGTGCACCTTCCTGGTTTGTGTGGGTACCTAGGCACTCCTGTACCTACAGCCTCATCGCTGTATAACTGCGGGTCAGATATACTCTCTCTGCTGCTCCAAGGTCAGGTTCATCAATGCGCCCTTCTAC